CTAGACCGAAGCTACATTAACCAGATAATATTATGATCCCACAGGGCCATACTGCTGGAGATGAAGCCAAGCGTGGCAGCCAGAATGCAACTAAGAGTCCCTGAATAAGCAGCCTGCAATATGGTCTTGTTTGAGAATTGGTTTGTGCCATCAATCTCTCAGCTACCGAAATTAATGAATGTACCCCCCTAGATTGTGCCAGCATCAACCCTCCTGAAAAATGCAACCGCGACTGCCAACATCCCCCTTTTGATGATTACCCAGATCTATGCTCCGACCAGCAGTCGCCCCTTCTTCAAGTACGATCTTCTGCAAAAGTTTTCTGTTCTTCGTACTAAGTTCCTACTAGCTATATTGATATCAGAATCCTATTACACAACTGTGATCGACTACTAAATTCAGTATCCCATCGGTCCATGTCTTCTCGTTGTACTATATGAAAGTGTCAGAGGGAAGCACTGTGTTCGATGAAGGTAATGGGCGGGTTAGTGTCTCATCTTAATACCATGTACCTATTGTAGATTTGTCAACAAGCAAAAAGCCAGGCAGAGTTAGAAATTGCTACTTAATCATCTTGGCCTCGTGTAGGCGGTGGTGCACCAACATAGACAGTTAAAGACTGGACGTTATCAGAACTCACGACCCCAGAGGCATCCTCATTTCCATCGGGATTAACGTCATCATAAGGAAAGGCATAGCCTCTACCATCAACCTCATAGGAGTGAACGATGCGGCTATAGTGGTTAGTAGGACTGACTGAATAGTACGAGCTCTGACCTAGGCTCGGCTGGTCGTTACCACCATCAAGAAGAAGGGTTGATCGAACGAATGCGGCACAGATGCGTGGAACTACGGCAGCATGGACTGGGGTGTCACCTTCTGAAATAGCAAACGGACCGCTGTTACAGCCCCAGATGTCTTTACCCGTGGGTTTGGCGAATCCGCGATCGCTACCCTCGCAGAGAAGCTGATCGCCTGAAACTCTACACTTAACACGACCAGCACTCGTTTGTGTGTTGATAGTGAGATCTTGCGCTGTGTATCTATTCCATACCTCGTTCACATAAGTATCCCAATACGTGTCGAAAAGCTTGGGGTCGAGGTCGTGCTTGTTTCCGGGCGAAAGGACACGGACAGGCTTCCCATCGGCGTTCGCGATGCAGAGTGAAGCCCAATCGCGCTTATCTGTCTCTTTCTGTTTGGCCAGGTCATCACAAATCTTGGTAACAGCATCGGCTACTAGGCCCGCAGTGGTCTGGGTACTACCGTCTTTTTCAGTAAGCATCATCCCTAGCACTATACCGACAAAATCAACATAGCTAATGTTAGCATATAACGAATCATCCATATAGCTCAGTTCTACAAAGCCCCAGTTCACCTGTGCATTTGGATCTTGAAGATTGGTAACCGAAGGTTGAATCACGCTATCGCCTTCTCCCATGTTCACAACAAAGAAACGCAGGTCGCTGTCTGCAAAGTAGATGCGACCTGAGCGAATAAAGGAAGGCAGTGGGACTTCGAGAGGCTGATTTCGAGGGCCTAGAAACAAGGTAATATCTTCCATAATCTCGCTCCGTACGCGAGGGTCTTTGGATTTGGGATAGACAAGCTTACCATCAGGGGAGACAAAGAAGACCTTACCAGTAGCGTCTAGTCCGGATATATAGGATCTGATAGTATTTTTCCTGTCAAAATTATTAACCAGTTTCACCATCAAGGAGGGAGAGTTAGGAGCGCGATCTGTCAGGACCTGACTTCTGGGACTAGTTGACCTCCCAACAAGTAAATTCTTCTGCGTAATCTCGACCTTGTCAAGACTAGCGGGGTCTGCTTTAAGAAAACCTTCGGGTGTCGTACCGTGGTTATTCGGCCGCGGCGCGACGCGGAGCGCAGCGGTTAGAGATGTTGCACCTAGTAGGCTGGCTACAAAAGTGACAGAACGCATGATTATGAAGTCTTGATCTTTGAATTGACTTTGGGTTGATACCAACGGATGAGGCTATGGAGGTATATATATTCGATTTTATGTGTATTTATTAGTTGAACTATTTATAGAAACGTACAAAGAAAGTAGCTTGATAGGTATGTAAGATGGCAGACAAATTAAGACCCCATGTGTAGCCTCCTCCTTAGTACTCTTGACCTTTTTACCTTCTAAGTAATTTTATTCCCTGGGCGCTTCTGTACTAGATCTATGAGATATTTCTAAAACTATTTACCATGCCGACCACTTGATTTTCATTCTATTCTTGTGCTTGTCCACATTTGGGCGGCGGATTATCATGCTTTGACTAATATAAACGAGAACTCACGTGTATACGTGCTGGCTTTATTAACGATTAGTTACCGAAATGGATTATCCAATGACAGGCTGCTTCTTTGAAAACGTGTGGCCATGTACTAAGACTTATTCTAGGCACTACTCTTAGCGCAAGCGACAGGGGTTGCGGCTAGAGCTTTCATATAAGAACTACAGGTCACAAAGCAAAGGGTGATGCAAAGTGGCTCCCACCACTGAAAGTCTGGGCATGATCGATTTACCAGCATCTCATTCCGGGTATCGTCACGCTATTTCATCTTGACACGTTGCTGCTCTGGTGGCCTCTCAAAACCATTGATAGCGTTCGAGTCTGTGAGTATGTCGATTCTATCCATACCTGCTAGCCACTCCTGATACTTTGATATTGTGGAAGAGCTGGTAAATGATAGCTCCACCCTTATACCGGGTAGTATTAAGCCAAGTACCAGCCGCCGACTGCCAAATATATGCAGGCTTGTTATTTAAGCTCTCTTTGCCCGTTTCATAGCACCACGCAGGTAGCTCATAGATAGAGGCCACCATCTGAGCACATCGGATGTCTCTATAGCCCTGCCAACGAAAAATAAACAAGCATGCGTTGTAGCACTTCTCAAAATTTACATCGACCACCTTTCCATGTGATGAGGTCCGGTTAAGTCATAACGTGTTAGATTCTATAGTGTTTCTGAGTAGATTACTACGATATACTGCTGATCTTGACCTGATACAATAACATACTGGCACGAGATAACTCCACCGATCTTGTAGGAAAGTCACTCAACAATGAAGTTGCAATGAAAATATAGAACTGTGGTAAGATTAGAGCAAGTCTTTGTTTCGGAAACATAACAAGAAGCGAAAACCACCCACGGTAACTTTTATGTCTAAAGCTTACTGTTAGCATACACCCGACTTCAAACTAATTTTGAATGGGTAACTGTTCTCCATTCGAAATAAAGGACCATCGAATGGATGGTGCCATTATTACCGAAAAAAGGCCAACCAATTGGAGACGTTGGGCCCATGCTGGTCCCCGTTTCTTTGCATATTCTCATTGTGAGAAACGTTCACACGTTTCACACGACTATGTGATGAGAGGTGCCTAGGATATCACATACTAACAAAGTGCTGACATTCGAGTGGACAGATCCATCGCAGTTGGGATTATCCTCTTTAGTGGAT